ACACTGCCCTTTAAAGCTGCCCAGCCACCTGCATTTCCTAGCCTGGGTGGAGAAGAGTATGTGTTTTTGCAGGTGGACATCCTGGATGTCCTCACCTTGGCATACTTGTAGGTGTTCACGGCGCTGTCCACGCTGAGGGTCTGGGAGCACAAGATCTCGCAGTGCCTCTGCAGGGCATCCAGCTGGAACAGGCTGGCAGCCGACAGCAGCTAGTGGGGAGGCAGAAGTGGCTTTGGGTATGCAGGGCCAGGCCTGGGGCCCAGGCATCACAGAACAGAAAGCTGCTTCATGCTGTGTGCCCTGCTTCTTCTCAGCCTTAGGGCGCTGCCCACATCAGCAGGTTGAGTCTGATGGCCTTGATTTATTTCTGCTCTAGGTCAGCTAGGTATTTGCTAGGACACCCAGGAGGCACAGGATGGGTGACAGATGCTAGCTGGAATTTCTGACCTCAAGAGTTCTTCAACTATAAGCTACACCCTTCATCGACACCAGTGGTCCCCAACCTTTTTGGCATCAGGGACTGGTGCTCCCATGAGAATCCAATGCCTGAGGAACTGAGATGCAGCTGAGGTGGTGATGCTAGTGCTGGGCAGCGGCTGCAAATACAGATGGAGCCCCACTGGCTCACCCGCCGCTCACCTCTGGCTGTGCGGCCCAGTTCCTAACAGGCCACGGTCCAGTATCGGTCCATGGCCTGGGAACTGAGGAACACTGGTCTACACGACCTTCTAGCCACGTGCTCGGGCAGCAGTGGTTCTGTTTTCTAAGCTGTGAGGAGGTGAGTAGGAGGCCCAGCCACCTGCAGATACTCCTGGGCCTCCCATCCCCACTGGCGAGTCCCTTTCTAACCCCTGGGTGTGGCCCAGGAGGTCAGGCTTGGTGGCTGCACAATTCTCCAGTCTCTCAGAATAGCCCTTGCTGTCACACACAGAGAAAGGACCAGCAAGGAGATTTTTTTTTTTTTTTTTAAATCAAATCTAACTCCTAAGTTTTGAGTCTGAGCAGCGTAGCCCTTGCTGTCCCACACAGAGAAGGACCAGCAAGGAGATTTTTTTTTTTTTAAATCAAATCTAACTCCTAAGTGTTGAGTCTGAGCAGCTGAGCAGATGACCATGCCATTTACTAATGGGGAAGATTAAAGAGGACAGGGAGGCCACCTTCCTCCCCTCCTCAGCTCTCCGAATGCTGAGAGAGGGGTTGAGAGCTGGCAGGTGTCTCCGGCTGGACAGGCACAGGCATGGAGTGCATGGGGAGACATGGACAGGTGGGCACCAGGCCCCCAGGGCTGAGCAAACCGGCCGGCTCCTCACCTCCAGGATGTCGGCGGTGGGGATGTCCATGGATTCCGTCCCTCCGTGGTACAGATACTGCATCATCATCTGCATTGGGAAGAGGCCCCGTGTGATCACCAGATAGACCCGCAGTGCCATAGTCCTCACTCGGCTTCCAGAATGCCACTCCAGCTGCTCCCCGCGGGGACCCCAGCCATGCCCTCTAGCCCTCTGCGTGTTGATGTCTGCAGATCCTCCAACGCTCGCTCACGCTGAGACTGAAATGTCTGTGTTTTCCATGGAATGCAGCCTCTACAAGTCAGCCCCCAAATCTTCTCTCCTCACTTGCTGTGTGTACGACCAGCTTCCTTCTGTGGAGCGGTTTCTCTTTGTCCCTCATGGCAGCCCACGAGCCCAGGGGGAAAAAGCTGCTATTCACAGCTGGGGAAATTGCGGCCCAAGGAGGGAGGCTGCCGTGGCTCAAGTCACCCAGGTCCCCGACTCCCACACCCGAGCCCTTCCAGCACCCCAGGCACCACACTGCTCATTCCTCCTTTTACCTAAATTCTAAATGTGGGGCCAGGAGGGAGGGATGTGGGGCTCCGAGGGGCCAACAGTCTAACCAGCTGCCCTCAGCAGCCAGCCTCAGCTTTCCGGTCCGTGCCAGGACTGCACGTGGAGGCAAGAGCCACATGCTGACTTCCTCCTGGATTTGCTCCCTTGGGAAGACAGCAGAGCTCGTGGGGGTCTGGGCCACAGGTCACCTGGCTGACTGGCCCAGTCTCATGTGGGGCTCTTGGGATCAGAGGATCCTGGGATATCAAACGAGGGGCCCAGGAGGGGAGAACTACATTCAGTTCCGCTGAGGTCTAAGTTGCAAACTCTGTCATCACGCTGGAGCCTGGGGAGGTTCCCAGTTGAAAAAAGAAAAATATCCTCTGGTTGGCTGAAGAAACAGCCCCAGCAAGGAGCTGGCATGTGTGTCAGTAAACATGGCTTCAGCCGGCACAGTCAGGCTCTGTTAGGACAACGCCTCCAGGCTGGAAGAGGCACCAGAGGGTCTGGGAGGAGCCCGAACTCGGTGGGGAAGAGCAGGGAGGAGGCCTGGCCAGGCTGTCTTGGGCCCAGACCAGTCCTGGGATACATCGGACCCTCCCCACAGAGGAGTGGGGCTCCCACGGGCCTTCTGCTGGAGTTCCTATGGCGATCTTACAATTACATGCATGTGTCTGTCTGTCCCTTCAGGTGGTGTGCACCTCCGGTGGGCTCACGGCTGGGTTCCTCCGCCATCCCCCCCGCCGCCTTCCCGCACATGCTGGGCGGAGCACCAGCAGGACAGCTGTGGACTATGAGGGCAAAGCCCCTGGCCCAAGGCTGGGAATGGAGCAGGTGGGTAGGTGAGATCTCCCAGGATTCTTTGCTAAGGGATAGCCTCAGGGTAGCCTCTCAGCCAGAGGGGCTTCAGGGGTATGGGCTGGGAAACAGGCAATGGCAGCCTGCAGCTCCCCTTCCTGGCCTGAAGGCAGCCTCCTGCTGTATTTGGAGAGCTGGTTTTGGCAAGGCCCAGCCATCTGTGGTGTCCTGAGGTCACTTGAATGCTTATGAGTCCACAGAAGTCAGACCAGAATTGCTCCCTTGGAGCCTTGCTGTGGGAGCTGGGTGGCTGGCAGGCAGAGGTAGATTAATTTTGTACAGCTCGGCACTCCCCAGGGAGGACTGGGTCATCTGCTTTGTGGGGCTGGGGGCTGGCGGGGCTGCTCTCGGAAAGACCCCAGGCAGGATCAGCTGCTGTCCCTTTCCCGTCCTCCCAGCGCTCCCCCCACCACACCTATCACACGATTTCACAAGCCTGCCTCCTGAGGGTAGGGTCCCTGTCCTGTTTACTGCTGTCTGCACAGCACCCATAAATGACTAAATGCTCAATAGGTGACTAAGGGAACGAAGAGGGACGAAGCCATTTTAGACGGTGGCTTCTTGGGCTTCTGGGAGACTCTGTGATCTCTCTCCTGTGCAGGACCAGGTCCTGGACCCACACACCAGTTGCTTCTTGACATCTGTCTCAGCACCTACGGGTCACCCCACAGCCCAGAACCCCCACACAGCCTAGAGACCTGTAGTTGCCACTTTCCAGAAAGGAGCTCTCAGCCGGGGCTCGGCTGAGATCCCAGCCTGTCTCTTCCTCCAGACCTCGGCAGCCAGCCTCCCGAGTTTCCATTATGCAAACGCTGATGTTCTCCAAAGCTTAGCGGTCAGAAGGCCTGACCTCATCTTCCACAACCAGGATGGGGTCCCCATGGCTTTTTCTGCTTAGCCAGTATGGCTGGGGTCTGACGCTTGGGAGGGGTGACGTGGCCAGCACGAGCGCTTCTCAAACTGTGCGTGCATACCACCCACCTGGGGTCTTGTTAACATGTGGGAGGTCAGGGGTGGGGCCTGAGGTTCTGCATTTCCCAAAGGTGCTCAGACAATATCCATGCTGGTGGGAGCGAGGGCTCACGGTGTGTGTGGGGTGTGCCTGTCCTTACATGTCTGTCTGCCTGGACCCCTTGTCCAGTGGTTAAAGCTCAGGACCTGTGAGACAGGCTCTGAAGCTTCAACCCCACAATGGACTGGCTACCTGTGCCTGAGAAGAACCTGGACACTCCAACCTGACCACTGATTCAGCAGAACACAGAAGGCGCTGGGGATGGAGTGGAAGATTATGACAGACTTGCAGCTGCCTCCTCCCCTGCCCAAATGGACAGAGCCAAGGCCGGGCTCCTGGGGGAGGGGGCATCCCCCCAAAAAGCATGCAACCCCGAGATCCGCACACCTGGAAAATGTGGTACTTCATGTCGCTGATCTCGATGGTTTTGCTGCTGTTGCCATCTTGTTCTGATTTGTTGGTCATCAGCGTCTTGAACCTGGAACGGAGAGGTGAAGCAAGGCCGGTTTCGAACGGGACTTTTACTTCATCACTGGGCACTGATGGAACCAGCCCTCATTCGACCGGTCACCGAGAGATGGAACATTTTAAAAATTACTGTCACATACCTGTAATCCCCAATGAGTGACATTTTATATCACCCTGGGCTAATGGCTGGCCCTGCTGTTTCATATGAATGACCATTCACACCTGTGGCCAGAAAACTGACCTTTCATTCCAGAATATTTATGTTTCTTAATCAAGAGCAATAATTTGACCAGTAAGAACATAACCTCAGTGCTCTCTTGGTGAACTCTGGTCCCATCCTTATTGTCCCTGTCCCTCTGCCTTACATCCCCTGTAGGGTGGGGGATAGGGGGGTCTGTTGCTATGTGACACACTCTGAGGGGAAGAGACGGCAGGGGCAGCCCCAGCCCCAGCCTCTTCTCCAGCATGCCTGTCACTTCGTATCTGCAAGAAGCTGCGCTCGCTCCTGGGGGCTGGCACTTGGTTAGCCGAGGCTGCCTACCTGTTAGAAGCTGTCACCAACAGGACTTTATGTGCATAAAACAGCTTTCCTTCCACTAGGAAGGTCACATCCGACATCTCCTTGTTGTTCAAAAAGTGAGGATCTGTGCCAAAAGGGAAGAGAGACAAGAAATGACGGAGGAGCCCACCTCCGGGGGTGTGGGGGTGCGGGGGGACCATAGAGTGAGCGGGTGTGCATGCACGAGAGAGAGAGAGAGAGAGAGAGAGAGCGAGAGAGAGAGAGAGAGAGAGAGAGAAAGAGAAGAGAGGGGAAGGAGATCTGGCAAGTCCGGGTGGAGAGCGGCTGGGGGGCGGAGGACAGGCCTTCACCTAGTCTGGCCGGCAGGGTCTTCCGGATCTCTGGAATGCTGGGTATGGGGCTGCTGCCATAGCAGCGTGTGAAGATAGCAGCCAGCTGCTGGATGACAGAGTCGTTCTGTTGGGGGAGAGGCGGAGAGAGGCCCTGTTAGCTCGCCCGCCCGCCCGCCCTGGCTGTCTGTTTGCCGCTGAAGATATGTCAGGCTGATTTCAAAAGTCCAGGCCAGGATTAGAGCAGCCGCTCTTTTGTTCCCCCTGGATCTGGCTTGGCCAGAGATGCCTGTTCCTTCGTCACTGATTCTCTAAATTGCTTTTTTGGCCAGGCTCCAGCCCAGACAAATCCACGGCCTCTGCCCTCTGCAGCCAGGCAGTGCAAGTCTGGGTGTGGGGTGGGTGTCCACCTGCGTCCGTGAGTGTGGAGGGTGTCCCGTGTCTGTCTGCCTGTGTGTCAGTCTGCATGTCTGTCCTGTAGCCTGGGTCAGGTCTCTGGAACCGGGTTCTTGAGCTTGGGGTGGGGACCTGCCTGATGACACTCACCTTGCTGGTCTTGAGGATGTCGAACATGAGCTGCAAGCCTTCGGTCACCAGCTCCTCATTGTACTCCTCCTCCTTGATGGAGCCGAAATCCCGCAGGAGGCTCTGTACCACCGAGTACCGCGACTGGGAGAAGGAGGTCCTCAGGGACTCGATCCAGACGTGCAGCTTCCAGGGGACACCTGAGCCGGGAAGGGGACAGGCCGGCAATCATTCCCTTTGGCAGAATACTCCCCAAATAGGCCCCGGAGCCCACCCCATGCCAACCCCCTTTTCTGGCAGGCTCAGGATGAGCCTGATGTCTGCAGAGCTGAGAGCACTCCCTCCCTGTCCCATCCGGGCCAAGCCCCATTCTTGCATGCTGAACACCCACGCAGGATAGCCACGTAAGGAGACCATTCCTTCCCCAACAGAGGTCAGAGGGGGTTCCAGGTCCTCGTCAGATGAGGTGGAGGAATGGCTCCGGCCCAAGTGCAGGGAGCCCCGGCTCCGAAAATCTACAGCTCAGTCTGGGGCCCCAGTGGCCCCACTGCTTGTTAGGCTCTGGAATTATTTACTGAGGAAGACCTATTAATTATTAAACAGTGGCCAGGTGGACATGGATGTCCAAAAATCGTGTAGGACACATGGGCCCCACACCTGTTTACCTGTCTAGAAGCCTGAAATGAACCCTGTCTTATCACACAGGGCTTTTACTGGCTCCTAGGTTACTGGTCTGTTAGTGCATATCCAGTGGCACTTAATTGCTGTTTACCAGCTCCCTGGAGTGTGTCAGTGGGGCCACAGAGTAATTCAAAACTACTATGGGAAGGTCATGACAAAAACTAGTCATCTTCTTGGTAATTAGAGAGTTGTTAGTATCTCTCCATCACTGTCACTATGTATTTAAAAAAAAGGAACAATAGCATTCCCCTGGGACACAACAATGCAGGTGGGTTGCTGACTGCAGGTGGGAGCAATATAGCCCATTTTACAGCGAAGAACACTGAGGCTGACGCTCTGTGAGAAGGCCGTGTGGCCTCCTGTTCTCTTAGCCCAGTGCTGAGCATTTGTGTCTTGTGGTCCCCACAATAATGACAGTACTGCCATCTTGCACAGAGTGCTCTCGGTGAGCCAGCTCTGGGGCCCTGTGCTTCATGTGATGACATCACATCCTTAGACAAAGATCATCAGTGCCAGCAAATGTGGCACAGCCGAGATCTCACCCAGGTCTGTCTGCCTGCCTGCCTGACCAGCCTCCCTGGAGGAGAAGTCTGTAGACCCAAAGAGTGAAAAAGGTTGGCTGAGGGACAGAAGAGCATCTAGTTGACCAGAAATGACTCCTAGTGCTAAAGACCCTCCCAGTAATACACTTTCCAGGGCAGTGACCGGGGCGGGGGCAGTAACGCTCCAGCCAGAGAGGGTGGAGGGTCTGAGGGCGAGGGCTGGGGTGATGAGCTCGAGGTGATGAGGACTCTCAGGCTCAGGACATCTTCCCGTCCCGGCCATCTGCCACCATGGCCCTGGCAGCCCCTGGCTTGCTGAGGAGCAGCAGAATGTGTGCGTGCACACGCGCACCCCGTGGCCTCACCCAGTGACCGCAGCTCCATGGTGATGTCCACGTAGCCGTGCTCTGCGCTGTAGTACATGGCCTCCTGCAGGGCCTTCGTGCGGGTCCGGCTCAGCCTCACGGGTCCCTCACTGCCGCTGCCCTGGCTGGATGTGTCACTTTCCTCCACGCCCTCAGCCAGGATCTCCTCCAGGGACAGCACGTCTGCCTTGGCTTGCTGTGGCTGCGTCAGGAGCTTCCTAAGGACATTCCTGTGGGGCAAGGGATGAAGGAGGGTGATGCCTGAGGTCCCTACCGTGGACAGTGCCTACCAAGCTGCCTTCCAGAGCCCTGTGGCCCAGGTGGCCTGCTCTGGCATACCTGTGGTCACAAGTGCTCATGGTCTTCCCCTCCCAGGTAGGCTGGGCCAGGGGTCCCTGCTCCTCCCATCCCCAGACACCTGGGAGAGGCAGTGGGGGGTGGGGGGAAAAGGTTTGCTGGTGACCCTTCCCCTCTGCCATTTTGGTACTGCTGAGAAGTCCTGGGCTCTGGGGCCAAGCGGGCTCTACTATCCTGACTGTGTGATCTCAGACAGGTTGTTCCATCTTTCTGCGCCCTGCTCGTCATCTGTAGAACAAGGTGTCAGACCACCCTCTTCCGGAGTTAATGTGAAGCCAATGTGATGGCATGGAATGCAGAACCTGACACACAGCAGTCCTCTGAAACAGCAGCCAGCCTTACACAGATAAGACTGTCTGAGACACAGCGCATGCTATGCTCACCTCCTTCCATTAATAAGAATAATGTGAAGTGAAGACGAATATTATATAAAATTCATTCATATATACAAATGTGTAGAATTTTAGACTTGACAGAGTATGTTACCATGTACTGCTGCACTTAACCCTGTGAGGTCCCATGAACATTGCCATTTATAAGCGAAAAATACATCTTGCTTAAGGTCACACTGGTCAGGAATGCAAACCCAGGACTTCTTAGGCTCATCTGTCACATCCTATGGCTAGGGACTCTGGGATGGCTGCAGCATGGGCAGACCCAAAGGTCATCTGAGGACTGAACCTCCTCCCAGCAGCCCTGCTGGCCCTCTCCACACTCCCCTCCCCACTCCATGATGGGGGCCAGGCTGTGCCAGGCAGCCAAGCTCATGGCCCAGAGACCCCTTGGAGGGCTAGGGTCATTCCCAAGGGGTATGAGCTAGCAAAACCCGTAGCTTTGCTAGCTCAACGAGTGCAGAGCACCTAGTTAGTGCCGTGCACTGGTATGTGAAGATGAGCAGCCACCATGCCTGTCCCAAAGATCCCATGTTCCAGAGAGAGAGTGAGAAGCAGGTGGGAGACAGGCAATCTCCATGCAGGGAGAAGAAGCCGCAATGGGGGGAATGCGGGGTGCTGGGTAGGGTAGAGAGGCCGCGACGTGCACGATGGCAGCTGAGGGCGAGGGTGATGGTAGCGTAGGTAAGTGAGTGTGGGGGCAGGGTCAGCAGAAGGTGGAGAGGAAGAGCATTTGGGGGAGGGGCCACGGCAAGGGCACCGGCTGGCTTTGAGAAGAGCTAAGAACAGGAAGTAAGCATCAGCCTGCCCTTCTCTGCCTTCTGATCACCTTCTCTCGGTCTCTCTCTGCTCCCCCAGAGCTGCCTAATGGCTCTGGTCTCAGCCTGCTGCTGCCCCATCAGACCCCTGGCAGCCTTGGCCCCCACAACGCAAGGCCCACCATCTGCTCCCAGAGCGAGATGATTTCCTGCAGAGCTGTCAGGAGGCGTTTCGTGGCCGAGCCATATGCTGCGTGGAAGCACCTGGAGCCGCGGGGCCCTGGAGAACCACCACTGGGCATGAAGGGACGTGGCCCCGAGGGAGGCCCCGGGCGGGTGCAGGGCAGAGGGTCTTCTGGGATATGGGGGGCCTGCCTTGGGCATCAGGAGCCCCAGGATCCAGTCCCTGGTCTGCTAAGTGATCCGCCACCCAGTGTCTCCAGGCCCTCCAACTTCTGGGGCCCCTGTGCTGTTAGGGGGCCTTGGTCTCCTTTCTGGCGGGCTCGCGTGTTGCACCCACCTCCCAACAGTGTCTAGAAAGATTTCCTGGCCAAGCTGTCTGCTCCTCACTGGGGAGTCAAGGCTCCTGAGGCCTGTTTTGTGTCCCCACATCACAGGGGACAGGAGCCGTGGTTCGGTACCTGTGGCCGTGGGCAGCAGAGTGGCTGAAGCAGTTCATATCCTCGTGGAGGGAGGTGGCCATGCCATTGGCTTCGAGCATGCTGAGGAGGGGGTCAGCTCCTCGGCTCAGCAACAAGCTGACCAGCTCGTAGTTCCCTGAAAGACAAAGTGGATTGAGGATGTCCCCATCATCCACATCACTGCCCCTCTGCTGGGACCTCCCTGGGTGTCGAGCTCAGCAGAGACACTGATGGATGAAGTAAGGGAGCCACCTAGGTGGTCCAGGAGGGGTTTCAGGGCTCACCGCAGGGGTCCATGTGTGAGGCCCAATGTCTAGCTACAAGCCCAGCCAGGGCGGGTGACAAAATGGGGCAGGGCAGGTAGAGCCTTAGGGCAGTTGGGGAGCCGTTGCTGGACAGGGCAGTACTTATACCTACCAGCTGCAGAGGCGAGCTGCAGAGGCGTCTCTGCATAGCTGTCGTCGCCACCATTCACTGCTGAGCCCTCCACGTGGGCACCGGCATCCAGCAGCAACTGTCAGGGCACAGGGGAGGACACTTAAGAATCGGGGGAGTGTCTGGGGCGTGTATGGCGGGAGTCTTTGGGGGACAGACCTTTCATTCCCTCCAGGCATGTCACCGAGACCCGTTACACCCAGGCAGTCAGGGAACCAGAATTTTAGAACTATAGGTAACCCTCAGGGCTCCAAGTTTCTAGAATCTTCACCTCTACTCTTCTGGCCTTGGACCAAGCCCTTAAACTGTGGGGACCTCTGAGCTGTTTCTACAGTGACCTTCCTAAGAACTCATGCTGATGAGTAGAATAGAAAGTATCACCCCTCCACTCTACCAGGAGAAACAGGCTCTGGGGGGCAGCAGAGGTGGTGGCGAAGGCTGAGTACCAGTGCTGGCCACCGACCAGGGAGTGACCTGGGGCGGGCACCTCAACTCACCAAACCTCGGTCTTCTCATCTGGAAATGCGGAGAGGCCTGCCTTGCAGCATTGTTGGGGATTAATGCTGCTCAGCTCTCCAGAGGGGCTCAATAACTAGTGACTTTTAGGGTTCTCATCAGAGGTTCAGTGAGCTCCCCATGGCTGGGAGGTGGTAGGGCTGCAGCATGACCCTGCTTTCCAGGATACCAGGTGGCCTCTCCCCCTGCTGGCAAGGGCAGTCCTTGTCAGGGGACGCAGATACTAAGCAGTTCCAGCTGAGCCGGCCTGCCTTTGCCTTCGGGCGGAGGTGGTGTCTGCAACCACTCGGCCAGGTGACTTTCGGCACTGTCTCACTTTTCCTGACCGGCTGGGAGGGAGCCACTTTCCATCATTCCTAGGTTCCTGTGGGCCAAACCCTCCTCAGAGCCTGTGCTTGGCAGTCTCGTTGAAACTCCACCAGTCTCTCACCTAGAGACCAGGTGTGGGGGGGTCCAGGCTAACCTCTCAGCCTCCAGTGAGCAGAAAGCAGGGGATGTTGTCAGCTAGAGACCACTGTCAGTCAGAAACTGGTCATGGCACCACCGCCTGAGGCAATGTGCCAAAGCAGCAGAGGTGGAGGACTGCACATCGGGACGAAACTGGGCGCCAGTCCAGGCAAGTCTGGGGCACAGCCCTGCAGACCAGTCTGGGCTAGGTTAGAACCTTGCTCAGGTTTTTAGGAGGGTAGTAACCAAAAAGCAGGCAGATGTGGCCATCAGCCTGGAAACCACCACTTACTGAGGCCCTACTACAGGCCAGGGCTGTGATGACAATGATGAATAAGCTGGATATGACCCCTACAATCTAACGGACAGCAGGGCATTATATGAACTCCTGAGAAGGACTGCCAAATCCTCTAGACCCTGGTGGCCTACGGAGCAAAGGAGTCTAGGAGTCAAGTGGCAGTGTGGCTGGTGCCCCAGCTGGGGTTGAATACTGCTCTGCCCACAGCTTCCACTTCTAGCCTGAACCCCATTCTCACACCAGTCACAGTTACCTGGGTCAAGATGGGCAACAATGTGGCTTAGCTTGACAGGTGAGCTGTGCCAATCCGAGTCCTCTCTCAGGAACTGGGGAAATGGTGAACTAAGCTTGTTTGGGGGAGAGGCAGAACTGGAGGGACGCCATGATATAGAGCCAGCTCTGTGGGAGTTCATGAAGGAGCAGCAGCAGCTAAGGGTTGGAAAGGTGGCTGGAGGAGAGAAAACTGAGCACACAGGCGCAGATTGCAGCACGCCCTGAGACTCGCCGAGAGATACAACAATTCCGGGCTGGCTTGGGACTGCTAGGACCCGGGTCATACGCCCCAAAATTGCACATGTATCCTTGCACTAAAGCCCTCTCCTTGAGACAAACCAGGTGGGTCTCTGCCCTGCTGACCAGGTGAGCACTTGAGCAGTGACTCTGGTTTCTTAGATTCCAGGCAGCTGCTCACCCAGCTGAGGCTGGGGCTATGCTTGAAGCCCAGCCAAAGTTGAGGGCACACTGCACACCTGGCAGGCACTCACCTGGACTACAGAGATGTGTCCGTGCAGCACAGCGAACGTCAGTGAGGTCCAGTGCCGGCTGTCAGGGTGAATGGAGGGGTGCCTGGGATTGTTGCTTGGAACCTAGAACAATACCACAAATAATCAGTGTTTCTTGGGTGAGTGACATTCCTGGGCAAGTGACAAAGGCACCTGATCTAAGGGAGTTCCCTGCAGGGTAGCGACTAGGAGTCAACTCAGGTGCTTTCCACATTCAACTGGTAATGTCTGCCTGGAGTACCCTGTGGACAAGGCTAAAAGGATGTTCAATTAGTGATATCTGCCCTGGGCAGAGAGGTGGCAGCAAGGGAGCACTTTATGCCTCAGAAGGAGGCGGAACTAGAAGCATTTGGGGATGGTAGGGATGGCTGGGGTTCGGTCGGTAAAGGGAAAAGGTGCTAAGTAACAAAATCATGGCTATTCTCTCTACTCAGCTGCTCCCGCAGGTCACCTCCTCTCAGAAAGCCCAAATCTTTGCTAACTGTGATGTCCATGCATCTTGTATTTCCAGTCCTCTGAGATACATCTACCCAGTTGTTCAAAATACTGCACCCACCCTGGCTGATAGAGACCTTGGGGATGTTCTCTTCCTTGGTTAAGAGCCTAGGTGCTTACACACCTGGATATCCAAGTTCGCTCCAGCATCAATCAACATCTGGACCATCGCTTCGTCCCCAGCAGCACAGGCATACATTAGTGGCGTCATACCCTACATGAATCAAAGGCAGATGTTAAACTGTCTGGAAATAGAACATGACGATGACACATATTCCACAGGCCTCTGCCACTGAAACCATAAACCCAGGCCTCCTGCTTGACCCACCGCTCATGCTGAGCAAGCTTGTGCCTTATGCTGGAACAGCCTGCCTCTTCTATGCCCACTGGATATATGACACTTGAAGGGAGAGCAGGGGACATTTCCATGAGCACCTCCGGACACCGGAGGGGTAAAGAACGCAAGCCTGGCAGCTGGACTCAGGTGCAAGGCCACCTCTGCCACGGGGAGCTGTAAACTTTGTAAAAGATACTTGTACCTCTCTGTGCCTCAGTTTCTTCATCTTTAGAATAGGAATAATGACAGTATCTCATAGGGTTGCTGTAAAGAGTATTTATTACTATACATAAGGTGCTTAGCACAGTGTAACCTTATCTTGATCTTGATTGAGTTAACTAAACTAACACAATAACACTATCATTGCTACTATATTAAGTTGCCCTAACCTGCCCCAGGCCCTGTGCTCAGAGTAAATCGCCGTGTGAAGGGATTTATATGCGTTGTCTCATATTTATACGCATTATCTCATTTAACCACCATAACATCCCTACTATGGTGGTTCTATTATTATCCATTTTACAGATCAGAAGCAGAGAGAGGGATTAGCTTGCCCAAGGCCTCATAAACAGTGAGAAGGAGAACTCAGACCAGAACCCAGGTCCCAGGTCCACCTGCGCTGCGAAGCTCACCCGTTGAGGCATCTCACAGAGGGTGAAGAGGTGTCTGACTGTAACATCTTGTGCTACCGAGCACTTCAGAGCTTTTCCGAAAGGCCCCATTCCTCCCTGAGTTTAGATGGGCGGTTAGAGGGTGAAGAGGTGTCTGACTGTAACGTCTTGTGCTACTGAGCACTTCAGAGCTTTTCCGAAAGCTGAGGCCCCATTCCTCCCTGAGTTTAGATGGGCGGTTAACGGGGCTGCCTCCTGGCCAGGAATCTTTCTTTGGGGCCAGTAATAGCAAAGGCAGCAGTGGAAAGTGTTATTCCACAGCTGGACCCTGGCAAGCGTTTGTCTGGAGTCCCGCGATGTTATTTATTAGGTTATTTGTGTGTAGACAAGAACTCCTTACCTCATAAATCCTTGCCTCACGCCCAGAGATAAAGAAATGGCCTGAGATTAATCATGGGTGAGGACTGTTTACCCACAGATCATTCTATAAATACCAAGGCTGAGGGAATAAACAGGATCAAGCATTCAGAGAAAAGCCAACTGTCACAGAGTGAAAATTTGGCTTTGTTTTATCCCTCTCTGCACATGACTGGCTTTTTTTCTCCATACATCTGTACATGATTTGGAGTTCGAAACAGGCTAGGAGCCTTGCGAGGAGAAACTCCTTCTTTGTGTGTGCTGGCCCCATCCCTACTCCAGACACATAAAGAGGTTAAATTAAAAGGGGCCAATTAACAGATTTCAGGAATAATCACTGTCATCATCATATTAACAACAAAAACCAGAATGAATGTTTAATGAACACTTACTGGTGGCAAAGACTCACGATAGCCCTATGGGGTGGGTGCTATTATCCCCCATACTGGAGGTGAGGAAACTGAGGCTCAGTGAGGTCGAGTAGCTTGTCCAAGATGCCACGGCTACGAGGTGGCAGCTAAACCTTAGGTGAGTCTGAAGCTACAGGCCATGGGCCTCGTGAGGAAGACAACCCCCCAGGATGAAATCTCCCAAGGAGTTCTGGAACCTGTGTTCACAGAGAAGCCCCTGGGAGATTGGAAACCAGTCTGTCACCTCCCCACTGCAGCCCCTCAGCCTCGTGGTCTCCCCTGTCCCAGCCTGTGCTCCAACAGTCCCACCTGCACGCTCTTGCTCCCATCATCTCCCTTCCCTGGAACGCCTTCCCCTCTCCTCTCCGCTTCACCCCAATCTTCCTTCCCTCGGGCCTGACTCAGACCCATCAGGAGGAGGCCTTCCCTTGTTGCCGCCGCCCCATCCATCAAAGTCCACTGTGGCCACGTGGTTCACCGGGTGTGTCATTATGCCCTATATCGTGCTGTCACCTCACCTGAGAGCCTTACCTAGCCCCTAGTTGCCATTAATTTTCCCCCATGCTTCTCTGTGGTCTTCCACACTGCAGTGCCATTGCCTACTGCAAGTGCTCACAAAATAGCACCAAATAAACAAGTTGGATAGTCCATAGTGGAAAGAGCGTGGAGTCGGATTGCTGGGGTTCGTCTAATGCCAGCTCTGCTGCTTAGTAGTTATGTGACAGATAAGTCAACTCTGTACCTCAGTCTCCTTATCAATAAAATGGGGATAATAATAGCACCTACATTGTAGGTAGGGCTATTATCAAGATTCAATGAGTTAATCTGTGCCAAGTGCTTAGAATAATGCCTGGAACATTGTTATATATGTGTTAACTATTTACAGCTAAAAAAAAAGATAACGAACCAAAAACTCAAGTTAAATTCTAAAATTGTAAACACCTCCAACACTTCCTTTTCTGGCTTCATTTTACTCCTTAGCACTTCCCAATAACGTCTTCTGTATTTTACATGTTTATGTTTCTTATTATCAGTCTCCCCCACGAGAATGCTAACTCCGTGAAGGCGAGGATTTCTATGCGTTTGGCACATAGTAGGCATACAAGATGCTCTGATACAAGTCGCGGGGATTATTATCCATAGCTCGCCATCGAACTGCCTCCTCTGGGCTTTTCCCGGCCCTGCACCATCTGGGACAGACTCCAGCCTTCCAGTGGGAGGAAGCAGAATCCCCATTACGAAAGTTTTCCGACGGGCACTAGGGAGGTCTCCGAGCTGACGTCCCACCTGAAACAGGCAGGGCACGATTTCCAAGGCGGCCCAACTCATGGAGCACACAGCTACACAGCTGAGCAGCTCTCAGGTTTGGGGATGCAAGGACTATGCCACCAACTCTGGCAATCGCGAATCCCCTCGGACTCTGGTCCCTCCACCTGTCCGGCGAGCAGAGCTCTCAGAACGCACCTGGTCATCCATGGTGTTAACCCCGTCAGGGCCCAGGGCCTCGATCGCCTGGCTGATGAGGTCCGTCCTCCCGCAGTTGAGCATGCGGAAACCCAGGTCCTGGTTGAATCTCTCAGTAGCCGCTCGGGCATCCAGCCTCCGGAAGGAACTGAAACAGCATTCGGGTCTGCACAGGAGAGACCCGGATGTGTGTGAGCATGACTGTGCGTGGACTCTTTCTGCCAGGACACCGCCTCTCAATGAGACGTGACACAGCTGTGCTGTGCAGACAGGGCGAGTGGGAAGGACTGGGAATTACCATCCGATCAGCAGTGATTGGCCTTGTTGGGCTCAGTGACATGAAGAGCACATACTTCTGTTGTTCTATAAACACATTAAAGAAGTGCTCTGAGCTCTTGGGAGCTGTCAATTGCCAGGAGACAAAGTCCCCTCTAAAACGATCTGTCAGGGGACTGCCTGAGGAGGAAGCACCAGCCTGGGCTTATCCCACAAGGCTTGGTTGTACACTCTTTGTAGCAAAGGCTGCGCTCAGCCTACAGAACAGTCACTGTGGCCAAGTTCCGGTTCCTGACTCGATGTTCTCTCCCCTCAAGGCTTCCTGGTGAGGCCCAGAAGTACTGAAGAGATAGAGCAGAGCAGCCCAGAATCCCATTGCAATCAAGCTGCCCCACAAAGATAAAACTTCTATCTACAGATGGCACGCCACGGGCTTCCGATAGGAGGCTCCGGCCTGGAGCCTTGGTTAGGCCGAAGTATGTAAGGTTTATGTCCTAGAATGAGGTTCAGGCATTTGCCATGAAAACAGAGGAGGCCATAACTGGGATTTGAGCAGGTCAAAAAAAAAGATGCAAGGCTCTCACAGGCCAAGAATGGCCGGAAAAACCTTCTCTGGAACTCCAGGAGACCAATCCAATCCAAGAGAGGCACACTGGGAAGGAGATGAAGAGTCCAGGCTTGGGGCCATATGGACCTGAGTACAAATTTTGACCACAGCCACTTTGCCAACTGTGGGCAAATTATTGCTCTTCCCTGAGCCTCAGTTTCTCCACTTGTCTGTCATATGGGAATTATACCCCTTTCTTCTCTAAAGTTGTCATGAGGACTAAGACAATGCATGTGGAAAGGGCTCAGCACAGTGCCCTTTCTTAAGCACCTAGGAAGTGCTTAAGAAAATGGCTACAATTACAGGAAGAGAGGAAGAAGGCCCACTTCTGCTGCTTTCCCCCCAAATATCCCAGAGTTGGACTGTGGGCGCTCTCCTGCCCAAATCCAAACTTGTGTCTGCTCTGTGTACCAGACTAGTGGCTGTGGGAGATGTGGCCAGAAAGCAGCCAAGGCTCAGAATTACTAGTTCTAACAGGCTTGGCACGCACAGAGGATGCCCTTAGAGCGGCTTGAACACGCTACGAGCTGCTTGCTGCCCCGTCCCAGCCTCCAGGAGTGGGGAGCAGAGCGGGTGGCCGAGGGGTGGGCACGGAAGCCGGGGCCCTCCCGCCTCATGCCTTCCTGGTTCCGTACTTGAGCTGCCGGGGCTCACAGTCCAGGCCGGGAAGCAGCAGTCGGGCTGCCTGCCGGATGTCACCGCTGTCCACGGTGAGGCTGCGGCGGTGCTCTGCGTAGGTGATGGCCACACGCATCCACTCCATCAGCGGTGGCAGCAGCATGAAGGGCCTGTGAGGCAGCAGAGAGAGAGGGTCAGGCCAGCTGGGGTGCTCCCGGAAGAGCAGAAGGGGACCCCTTCAGTACGTGCTCTCAGAGAGCAGCCACAGGGTCACCTGGTAACCCTCAGGCTGTGAGGTGTGGAGGGGACTTGATTCTTCTCCTCACAGAAACCCCAGTTTGTCCCATTCCACAGAAACTGTGTCATAGATCAGATGAATTCTTGTCATGGATCAGGTGTAAAAACTGAGGACCTTAGGGGGCCAGGGAAAGAAGACGTTTACCAACATATGGAATAGGAGACTCCTGCCCACCCTACTCCTCCAAAGAATTCATATGGGGTTCGAAGGAGAATCAAACAGACCCAGCTCCCAAACCAAGCTTCGCTATTAGGAGCTGTGCTCCCTCATCAGCACAGACAGACAACCCTGGTGTCCTTGAGCATTAGGCTCCTGCTGTCACCACCATCTTTCTCCTAGGCAGGCACGGAAGTTTTGTGGCCAGGAAAAAGACCTCTAATCTCTCTCCTCAGCTACTAAGTAAATCAACTGCAGGGAATCACTAGAGATTGCCTGCCCATGACACATCTCAGGTCTCTAAAAGTTTGGGTCATCTTCGAAGTTTCAAAAGCTTCTCTCCTTGAGGGCAAAGGATACTTTCATTTATCTTTTAAATAAAATAATCAGATGAGATCTTGGAGATGGCTCATTTGGAAGTTATTCTGATGGTCTGATTCTGTCATTTCAGAAAATATATCTGGGTCTGAGTCACTTAACTGGCGCACTGCGTGTACCAATCAAGAGAGCTCCGCCAGCCTTGGCCTTCAAGGATGCCCAGATCCTCACCCCAACCTACTTTCCAGCCCTGACTCGTACCTTTCACCAGGACGCACCAGACCACTGGGCACTCACGGTTCTCAAGCCCACCCTAACCATTCCCATCTCCTCATGAGAAGGAACCAGCTCTCACCTCTGCCAGCCTAGATCCCATTTATCCTTCAAGGTTCAGTTCTAATGGCACCTCCTTCCAGAAACCTTCCCGGATTCCTCTCTCTCCAAAGAATCTCTTCCTGCTCCAAGATCCCTTAGAATGCTCTTCATCCTGACTGGGCTATTCTGCCTTAGAAAGGATGCCTTCTTCATCTCTGCTTTATACAAAATATACCTAGCAGAAGACCTTGACACAATAGGTCTTCAATAAACATTTGCTGAATGACTAAGAGCATGGCTGGGCAGCAGGAACTTAGTATAATGCATCCAAAGTTTCAATTCTGGACAAAATCCTGTTTCTGTCCAGAAAAGAGTGGAATATAATTTTCAAGGGTGCAGTATTCACATATTAGAGTAGGAAGCTAAGAACTTGTAGATTCTAGAAAGGACCAATAATAATCCATTTTTGAATCACCCTTGTTTATAAGATCTTTCTTGATTACAAGTGTCCATTTGAACCCCCCCACACCTAAAATATTTCTGAACTTTACAATTCTTATACGATAATGCAAGAAGGCAAGCTCAGAGGCACACTTCTATGCATCAGTTCTTTTGATCCGAGGCGAAGGCTTTCTCTAAACCACTAGCATTGGAGAATGAAGCGTAAACAAAAAGATGGTTTGTGGATCTGTCAGCCACTCTTCCCTGTCGTGGCCAGCAGCCCAAACAAAGCGCAAGTGCAGCCACTAAAGATCTAAGTGGCATCTCCCAGCTGCACTAGGGGAAATCCAAGACGGAACTCGGGAAATCATGACGTCTAATCAGATGGTGTCATGATCCATTCTGTTTTATGCCTCTTACAACTTGGCAAATGAAAAAAATTCAGTAACCTCAAGTGGGCCAATATTGGGGATTGGCTCATTTGGCCTCTATTTTACCGTCTTATTTAGAAACACGGAAAGTTGAAAACTACATTTCCCTGACTCCTTAGCAGCTGGGGTTTTGAATGCAAGACTGGTTTCACCATTAAGATGCAGCTGCATGGGATCTGGTCAATGAGGCAGGTCACCTGTGTGCCCCATTTGCCTGTTTCTGTTAATGCACGGTCATGATACATGAGGTCTTTGTTTTTTTGACTTCTACAGAGTCTTCCAGTGTCCATTTTCCACCTTGCTTGGTGCTTCAGAGGCAGTGGTAATGCTACTGAAAGCAACAGCAAAGACTTTTTGATTCCAGCTTCAATCCTAAATTGCAACTCAGGGGCTGTCTCAGAGGGAGCAGCCCCTGGCTTCATCCCATGGACTAGTTTTGTATTGTCCTTGGAGTCACTCTTGGAAGCTCAGCCTGCTCCTTAAGCCCTTCTGATGATTCTGTTGGTGCCTAATTCTCTGCATTAAATCTCTTCCTGCTTAGAATACCTAGGGTGGTTTGTGTTTTGTGAATTGAACACTGATTAATATTCTCAACATACAGAAATCTTCCAGGGTCAAGATTGTCCCTCTGTCTCTGGGGTGGTGGCTGGTGCCCACCTGCCCACAAGTAAGGCCCTGCCAGCCCCAAAACTGACTTCTTCAGGCCCTTCTCTTTGGCCTACCCACGTCCTGGGTCTGTGGTCCAAGGGAAGGTAAAATAACAAGCAATTCATGGACTGTCTCAGTAATATCCATCTCTGAACCTGTAGGTTTCAGGCTCCTATTTCCTTTCTGGCAATTTCACCTAGCCCACTGGGCACCTGCTTTACTGGACAGTCTGGAAAATCCCTATAAAAACTCCCTAGGCTGTGGCTGTGTCCTAACCCCAGGGTGAAAGGGCTCCAGAGGAGCAAGGCTGAGAACGACTGATGTCTGCATTGTCCCCAGAGCCTCTCTGCTTTGTACTCTCCCAAAGAAAAAGGCCACTTCCCTTGTCTTGCCTGTCCCCTAGGCTAACTTGGCTGCAAGCCTTTCAGTAGCAGAGGGCAGGTGTCGGCAGTGCGAGAGCCAGGGAGGGCAGGGCAGGGCCGAGGGAGCCCCTTTTGTTCGGCCCTCCTGCTGCCGGGCTTCGCGTCTGCTGGGTCCGATGCCCTGGAAAAGTGGTTCTCAAGCGCTTTGGTCTCAGGATCCTTTTTGTACTCTTACAAATGATTGAGGCCCCTAAAGAGCTTTTGTGTCATTCTACTGACAATGACTGTATCAGAAATTAAAACTGAGAAAGTGTTAAAACTATGAATGCACAAGGTCACGTCCCATCAGCTGTCGGGGTGATAATGTCATTGCGTGTCCCACAGCCTCTGGAAAACTCTCCTGAACCCTTGCGAGAAAATGAGAGGGAAAGGCAAATAACACATTATTATGATGACAATTTTGGCCCTGTGAACATCTGAAAAACCTCTGGGCCCTCAGGGCTCCCCGGACACTACTTTGAAAACTGCTGCCTTAGACAGAGGTGACAGATCCCTAAGATAAGGCAGAGGTTGTGGGGCTGGGATTCTGGACCTGCTGGCACACGGTCTGGCCAGGCCTAGAATGGTGTTTAGTTTGCATGCACACTCCTGGCCTGGGGATTTGAGGGTCCTGCTTGCCTTCCCTGAAGCATCCTCAGTGAGAGAAAGTTCTAGTGTCCAGGAGGCAAGTGAACTGGCTCTGTAAACTTGGGCAGATCATTACCCTGTGTTTCTATTAAAGGAGGAGTTAAGTCAGAGTTTTTAGACATTTCCCATTGTGGGAACCCCTTTTGCTGTTATTCCAGATTCCACATGATGATAGCTGTCTCTACTAGAAAGTGATCGAGAGCCTGGGCTCTGGAAGGAGACTCCTGGGTTGGAATTCTGTGTAATTCCAATGAATCAAACTGTGATCCCGTGCAAGCTACCTTGCTTCTCTCAGCCTCAGTTGCCCCATCAGCAAAATGGATATACCTACTAGGACTACCTCACAAGAAGTATGTATGTAAAATGCTTAGCAGAGAATTTGGCACATGGTAAGTTCTCAATAAAGGCTAATTATTATTACTATGTTAGTATCTGTTGATAGAGAAAATACATAACAGCGAAAAAGGTTATAGGAACCTGGTCCTATTAAATGCCTCAACTCCAGCCTTCTTCGGGTCCGGCCAATTCTCTCCCCCACAGGCCCTTGAGCAAGCATAAACATGTAAAACTTGCAAAGTCTGCTAGCAAGCTGCCCACCACCCACTCCATCCAGCTTATAAAACTGAAAACAAATGTGACCACAAGGTCGGCTGGGAGCTGGAAATCGTTGCTGGTGGTTCAGGCGCTCGGCCTTGGCCGTCAGGAACTCCACACAGGGAGAGGGGCAATGACAAGGACCACAGATGCTGGGGCGTGGGGGACCATGGGTCATGAACACGTGAGGTGGGGGATTGGGGTGTGCATGGAATAACTGTGAGGGGCCTGCACCAAGTACTACTGCTGGCCTAACCTACAACCGCACCCCCCACCCCTCCATATGCATGCAAACGCCTCTGGTCAGTTGTTGCTACAACAAACAAAGCCACTTAAAAGGGTCATCAAGTGGCCACATTTGTCTTTGTGTACATTAAAAAAAAAAAATCTATTGTCATGTGGGGGATCCAGGAAATACACCAATGAAAAGGAGTCTTTTACAAAAAGAGGGTGAGAGGAGGAAATAGAGACCCAGTGAGGCCAGGTGCACCCAAGGGCACAAAACCAGTTCAGTAGCAGCGGGGAGGCTAGACTCACGTCATGACTCAGTTTCTCTTTACCGCTCTTTAATCATATTGAGCCTGAGTATGTGAAATCAGTGGCCCCATAAGGCCCTTCAATAGGACTAGGTCTGCAAAAGCCATTTTCCCTGTTAAAAAAATGAAAGAATAAACTTCTTAAGGCCTTGGTTTTAAGAGGTCCCTGCAGCCTGGAAAAAAAAATAAACCCTGCCCCACTCAGCAAGCTTATGATTTATTGGGGTTACAGTCCTATAAGCAGTGTCTTAACAACATGGAACGGGAAACGCCTCCAATTTCCAGCTCAAAGCAGGCTCTGTTCTCTCTTAAGGTGAGTAGGGGCCTCGAGGAGGGTCAGGTTGGCAGACGGGGCACAGGCCTGTGTGACTCGAGCCCATACAT